TGTTCCATCTGTATACCCCCTTAGGCCCAGAAGTAGCTGAGAACCAAGAGATGACAAACGCGGCATTTGTAAGCAAAGCTCAGGGAGATATCTGGAGCAAGCTGTAGAAGCCGGAGGGTTTTGCTGGAATGAATGCCAACCAACTGCTGGAGATTGCCGTGAAAGTGTTTGTAAATTGAAATCAGGAGGCCCCACAGGAGCAGAGCCGCAAGATGAAGAAAATGGCAGACGTGCTGGCGGCCACCCCGGCAGAAGGATGGGGACGTCCCCACGAGAACACATCCAAGGGCAAGGGGCGAAGCCAGTAAGGAGGCCAAAAGAAGAGGCCGCCCTGCCTGGAGATGAAGCTACATTGGAAGCAACGTGCCCACCATTGCAGGTAGCGACACTAGAAGAATGAATGGCCCTACCAGCTAGAAAAAGCTCCCCCTCTCCCTGAACAAGAGGGCAGAGATCAAGCAGCCCAGGGCTGACAGCAAGCAGCTCAGAGGCCACGTGGGGCCCCCGAGGATGATTCTGTAGGACTGACTGCGTGGGAGAATGTGAGAACTAGGACACACTGAGCTCTGTTTTGTTAGGCTCCCAAGAGCCTATGGTCCAAATAAATGTGGGAGGTTGGCCACAGGACTCCAGGAAAAAGGCCCGAATTTTCCAGGAGAGAGTCAATTTGTTTCCATTTGTTACAGGGACAGTGACAACTCGGGTCTGGGCGAAAGCAGGCAGTTTGCTCAATTCCAGTGCCCATGACCCAGTGCCAGGTGCAGGAATTCCTCAGGGCCACGGGCTTCTGTAGAATCTGGATACCTAACTTCCTGGTCCTGGCAAAACCCCTTTATGAAACCACAAAGTGGGGAGAAGAACCTTTGTTGTGGGAGCAAGTACAGCAAAAAGCCTTTGAAGAGATCAAGCCCTCATCAACACACCAGCCCCGGGATTTCCAGACAGGACTAAACCTTCTTGTACATCCGCAAGTGTACCGGCGTAGCAGTGGGTGTTTTAACCCAGGTGCCGGGGTCAAGGCACCGGCCGGGAGCATGCCTCCCCAAGCAATTCCAGCTCAGGGCTGGCCAGCCTGTTAGTGAGCCCTTGCTGCTATAGCCCTCTTGCTGGCAGAAACTGACAAACTGACTATGTGGCAAGCATTGACAGTCCGAGTGCCACACTCAGTACTGACATTAATGGAGCACAAAGGACAAACTGGCTAACACCCAAATGGTCAGGTATCAGGGGACGTTATGTGAGAACTCACGCATTTATCTAGAAGTAGTGCGGGCAACCCTACTGCCTGTGAGGCAGGCCAGCCAGATCAAGACTGCATTGAGGTCATGGATGAGGTCTTCTCCACCCAACTGAACTTGAGAGACCATTATGGACCCTATCACTGAGTACGTTACTGATGGGAGCAGTTTTGTGAAAGAGGGAACACCTTTCAGATTGGTCATGTCCCAGGCCAGACCCGGGGAGGCTAGAACCCCTGGGAGTTGTTTAGAAGACGATTTTCAATCTTTAGGAGGTTCAAAAGTTAAGAGGTGTGCTCTTAATTTTTGGAACTTGTCTAATCCTATCCTGCCTTCCTCCCCTGGTTACACAGTCTCACTGAGGCTTTAGTCAAAAAGGCAAAAGAGACCATGCATGTGACGATGCTATGGAAATATAAACCTTTAAAGCACGATGATGTACTTTGACCCAAAACAGTTCTGACCATCAAAGGGCGGAATGCGGCAGGACCCTTCCCAAAGGAATGCAGTGGGGGCTTCTCAGACCGAAGGGAGACAGTATGGCACAGTTTCCATGAACATGTGTAATTCTGGGTTGGGCCTATAACCTAGATTGTACCCAATCAGGCTGTAGTTTGTTAGTGTGCTACCATATAAGGAAGATACAAGAATTGTAGAAGAGGTTAAACCACCATGCTCAGGGCTCAGTCTCTGGATGTGAATCCTCTGAGTCAGTGCTGGCACGGATAATGTTCCTGGAAAGAGACTCGGTGTCTCATCCCGCTACGTGAAAACCCTGCTACACAGTCCAAGGTGGAAGACCTGGAGCTCACCAGAGTTCTGTGGAAGTCCCTAGCGGAAGGTCACAGGGTCTGTGCTGTAGGGCTGTGAGTGCTCTGGAAGGATGAAATCTGTGGATGACCAAGGTGAAGGTGAAGACTGGAGTCCTGTGAAGAAACAAGTGAGTCTTTCTTCTTTGTGCCGTTTTTTATTCCACTCAGGCCAGAAGCCCATTGGTTGGTGCCACTCACACCCAGGGTGGGTCTTCTATCTTCAGCAAATCCTTTCAACTACACAGAGAATTACACTAACCCAAACAGTTGGGCACTTCTTACTCAAGTTTATCCAACAGTTAATTATTACTTTCTGGAAGGCCTCAGTCCAGCCTGTAAAGGTGTAAATTTGTTAATCTCTCCCATGGTGGCATACAGGTAAAGCCTAACTGCCAGTTCTCCCCATGGTGTGTCCTTCTCCTCTGTCTAGGTTCTAACAAAGAAAATGGATTGGGATTGACAGAGTTATTGTAGGCACAAAGGGGGAAGCTTTATCGACCTGTCAGGTGGTTGATCCTAGTCTTAGTCCAGTAAAAATCTGAGTGACCATTTCCAATGCAGCATTTCTTTCTTTGCGAAATGAATCATAGTTTTTATAGCCTTGCACTGTGACCCTTGAGGACTAGATTATTTCCTAAATACCACAGACTCATTTTCTAATTCACCCTTGTCCTGAGGTCCATTTATCTTTGGGGAATGGAGGTATACACTGGTTTTAACGGTTCTTAGGGAACTGGGAATAAGGCTAGGGTCCTGAGGGGCTGTACAGCTGCCCTTTGGGTCCCCCTCCCCCAGTTAGCCTTTTCATTTCCTAATGAGCATTTAGACATAAATGTGTTCAGACATGAAGGTGTCTCTTACAGTGCATGATGGGGGCCAGCTTGGATAGTCTCTAGTTGCAGCATTTTCTGTTTGTGCTTTATAGATGATTGCTTATTAGTTTATGATCTTAAGGTTTTCCATGTGTTAGAATCATGAGCAGGAAAATTCACTTAAACTTTCATCGATAAATTAGGATTAAACTAAGACATGAAAACTGGTAGACAAGTGTAAGGTTCTGGGTTTGATTCCCAGTACCAAAAAAAAAAAGAAAGAAGGAAATTTGGTAGAATATAGTTTTGATTATTAAGATATTTACAACCTAATGGGGGTAAATACGGCCAATTCAATTTTGCATGCTTCCTTGTGCATGCTCTCATGTGATATTTTATCCACCTGGAAGACAGAAAAGCTTTCATAAATTGTTTAAAAATGTGTATTTCTGGGGAATTCTAGGGTTAACACTTAATGTGGCATAGATGTCTTTCTTGTCTCCAAGTCACTTTAAGCCTCTCATTTGGCTCCCAGATACTACTTTCATTTTCTTTTTCCTTTTTCGATCTCAGTAATCACTACCACCATTTCTCAATTTCTACAATGGGAGCTGAAAAGAGATTTCTTAACATTAAACAGGACGTTATTGATCTTGGGGATGAAGCACAAGGGAATTACAACATAACCTCAGGCTGCCCTTTGAGCCCACAGGTCCCAGTCCCTATACAAACCGTGCAATGGGTGCCTCTCTTTCTACCTAGCAGCTGGCCACCACGTAACAGGGGTCAGCTTATTTCTCCTTGGATGTAGGACTTTTGAGTGCCTCTTTCCTAGGGAATGGAAAATTCCAGGGTATGGTTCATCTTATTTTTTGCCCCAAAGTTTGACTGAATTTTTAGAAGATCAACAGTGATACAATTCACTTCCTTTAGGGAATATTTTACCTCTGCCTGTAGGTCTGTAATTTACTCAATCCCAAACTAGCTACAAAACAGCAGAATACTATCATTCAGCAGTGCACCTCCCTTCATCTGTATTATTCATTTTTAAATAACTAGCAAAGAAGACTATCCTTATCCTCCTGAGAAATTCAGGAACTTTGTTTCTTTTGCAGTCCAACGCTTTCCTGTCCCTGCAAGCAGTTACTCAAAGGGCGGCATACGCAATGGTGGAGAAAAAAATTTAGAGGCAAAATTACCTCTAAACTCATGTATCAAAATACACCCTAAACTCATGTATTTTTCTCTTAAATAGAATTTTCACACTAACAGCTACAAAAAGAACACAGTATTCACAGTTGAAAGGAATCTAACTTCTAACCCAGAATACCTAATGTGCCCCTGGTCCATTGTGAGTATCCACTGAACAACTAGGAACAGATCGATTTTAAAAGTTACCTATTTGCTTAGTCACTGTCTTAACAGGAAACGTTCCTTGCAACTTTAAAAATACTCCCAGTAGCTTTCACCACCTCCCCCCCCCCCCATATTTAGGGTTCATTGCGAACCAGAACACATCTTAAATAAGCACATTTAAAACAAATGCTTTGGAATAAAAAAAGGAAGGGTACAAAGGGCATGCTCCAATGCTGCTCCCTGCAAAAGACTGGATAATTTCCCAACCTTTGCCCTTTACACACACAGAGATTGTCCCGTCACACCAAGGCTGCTGTCTGTTGCTTCCTGTTTTATTGGAAACTCCTCCCTCGCGAAAGGATTTATCTCCAGTCCTACCTCAGCACTGTGCTTACCAAAGGCGTCCAATAATGAATGGGTTTGTAGAAGAGAGGCGGAAAAAGAGGCTTTTTGGAGACGTTACTTGGAGAACTAAAATGATGACAACGTAACAAAACTCCCTGCAACTTGGATAGGGGTCCGCTCTCAGCGCATTCTCAAGCGTCAGCGCTGCACATTAAGCCCCGCCCACCGGCGACAGACCGGAACGAGTCGCTTTCTGCGAAACCGGAAGTTCCCGGTCGCGCCCGCGCCTGCGTATGCCGGCCAGCTAGCACTTCCTACACTCGACGGTCCAGTGAGAAGGCCCGGACTCCCAGGCCTACGCGTCCGGGTCCTCGCCAAGCCCCGCCCCGCGCAGCTGCGCATGCGTCCTCTGCTGGGCCGGCCTCGCGGAGGCGGGGCCGAAGGACAGATTCTCGCTTCCTGTGCTCGCTCCCGCCCCTCTCCTTCCCCACCTGCCACGTACGGGCCGGCCCGGGTCTGTGCGACTGGCCCGGCCCG